ACACCCACGTCTGTGACCTTATTCCAACTCAGGTCGATGTAAGTGAGCGTCCTGTTGGTCTTTCACCGTCACCCCTCCGTCGTTCTGGTGGCCTCGCCGAGCCCATGGTCCATGCGACAGTAGCTGAAGTCGAGCTCGGTCAGCGCGGCGAAGGCGGCGACGTCGAGCTCCTGCAGCGCCTGGAGCCGCTCCGGTCCGGTCGCCGGTCGGGCGGGCCGCCGAGGTCGCCGAGCGAAACGGCCGCCTTCACCATGGCCTGTCCGGCGGCTTCGGCATGCACAGCTGACGACATGCACAGCTTCTGCAGCGGAATAGAGCCGAGCGCCTCCGACACGGGCCCAATCAGTTGGGCTCAGAAAAACTGGGAGAAACAAAGTGGAAGTCGAACATAGTTGAACCCTGCAAGCAGTTGTCCAATGTTGTTCAAAGGAACAAACCATATCTGAATATATACTGAATTGGAAACATATGAATTATGGCACTCTCTGTCGCTAGACTTGACCAGCCTCGAAAAAGGCCTTGGCCTCCACTTCACCAGCTTTGAAGCGTTTGATGTTCAGCACTTTGATATTCTCAAAGTGGGGCAAGGAAGCAGCCAGCTCGGCCATGTCGGCTTGGGTCAAGTCCTCCAGATTCAAGTGATTCCTCAGCACCACTTTTTGGTGAAATATTTTGCTTTGAAGCTCCACCACTGTGGACGCATCATTGCGATGCGTAAAGGCCGACGTGGCCATGCGCTCTTCAAAGACTTCGGGCGCTGTGGGCACAATCTTTACTGTGACCTGTTTGCCAGGCTCTCCGTCGATCGCAATATTCTGAGCTGGAATGCCGCGTGCAGCAGACCATTCAATTTCGGCACGACACCAGCCGCGTTCCAGGTAAAAAACAAAGTTTTCCACCAGCTCGCTGAGTGGAATCCATGCACCGCATGGTACACCAGCACTTTGTACGTTGAGTCTTCCTTCCTAGCAGTCCATGTTTCAACAGGTGTGAGACGTTCCAGGCGGAATGTCAGCGTGCTCTGGTGAGCATACATAACGTGCATGTTCGACATTGCTCGCCGGAAACTGGCCTCTTGCTCAGCCGTGTCACGTTGGAATTGAAACAAGGACAAATAGTCGTAGAAGATCCAAATGTCGTCGTGATAGGCAGCATCCCATAGCGAGACAAAATTCACGAGATTCTCCAATTGATAGTTGCAGGGATCCGGTGTTCCCGCGTTTCCCACGCGTGAGACACTGAACAAATCAATGCCTTCCTGCGACCTACCGCCCATTCGGCCACTTCCTCGTGTGAGATCAATGCTGAGACCTCCATTCCATTCACTTCACAGCAGTCGTGCTCCGCCTCTTGGCGCCGTGGCATGCACCTATTTGCAGAGAGCAACTTGTAGAGGTACCTCGAGGCACAAGACGAATGCTCTGTCAAACACACAGGCAAAGCCGATGATCCGCAAAAACACATCAGCTGGGCGAGTGGCGGAGCCCTGATCAGGCGGACGCCGGCATCGAGCAGGTATTTTGCCAGGTGCTTTGGATCTTCCAAGTCATAGGTGGCCTTCCACTTCAGAGTGCAAGCTTTCCAAGGCAAACTTTCGCAGTTGGCCAACAGACGAGACAGCGAAATACATCACGATCAATGCTTATCAATCATTGTCGATGCATCTTCGCATGGCCTCGTGCCAAGCACAAACCTGAATTTGGCATGTCGATTCGCATAGAGTAGTCAAAAGGAATTCGATACGCCTCGAGCTCGATGAAGGGAATGATATGATGGTATTCCAATCCCTGGCCTCAGCTGCAGATCAGCTGCAAATCTGTGTACCTCTTTGATCCGTAATGCTTTTCTCTCTACTAGAGTTGCAGGTAATATAGAGAGTAGGTCACTATCGGTTGTCATGGCAGCTCGGATGGTCTTCCATAGAAGACCCAAGGTCACTGGTCCAAGATGCCAAGATCGCAGGTTGATGGGCCACAAGAGTCACAGGTCCGTACTCTTGCGATCCCAGTGATCCAATTCAAAGTGCCAAGCAACTATTGGAGGGTAGATCTTTCATCCTCTCCTGCACTGAAAGCATGAGCGTGCCAAAAAAAGCGGCTTTCAAGATATTGAAAGATCCACAACATGATAAAGTCTCCTGCACCTCCTCTTCTGAGAGGCTGCCTCAGCAGCGCTTTCAGGGAAAATGTTCCTTTCTGAAGGCAAAGCACACAGATGCCACACTCTCAAGAATCCTGAGGAAAACAGGTTGCCAAACTCAATCCAAAGGCCTATAAACATCTGCTGGCGCCGAAAGGGTCTCAATCAGTTGGACATGTGGGTCAAGGATCAAGAAATGCAGCGACATCAGGTGGACTTAGCATTTTCGTCCGATGGGATCGAGGCGACATCAGACTGCTGTCAAGGCTGTTGATATACGTCATGATGACACTCCACTGCTGCTTGAACCCCCCAAAACAGAATCCGCGCTTGACTTGATCTTGAAGAGACATAAGTCCACAAGTCACAACTTAGTAATAGTAGCTCTCCACCGAATGCTTGTAGGGCCAATTGTTTTTTCATTTGGGCTCAGACTGCACAGCTGCAGAATTGTGGCGATGGTTTCCCGCGGGAGAAAACCTGGGAGCTCAAGCGAACTGACTTGGTAGCCCCAAATCATACAAGTCTCCATGAAGAACTGTGAAAACATGTCCATGGCATCACTATATAGTGCTCATCACGGCAAAACAGTAAAATTGCAACAGCAACTCTGACTCTGAGGTGCAACTTCTCCCTCATTGAAGCACTGAATACCAAGAATCCTGTTTTGGGGTGCCTTTATGTTTGATTCACAATAAAGCAACTGGTGCAAACACTCTGCTTCAAAAGGCTTAGACACCGGTCTTCTCTGCATCAAAGACTTGGACAAATTGAAGTCCATCCTGTACCTGCACGTAGCTCATCTTGACAGGTCAGCTGATGTGGTGACTATAGCAACATGTGAAGACTGCAGAGCTCCTAAAATACAATCAGGGTCATGAGTCATGAGCAAATTTCACTACGAAGTTCAACACGCTGGGAGTCAATTCACAGGGAACGTGGCACAAAGCTGTGACATCCATGACATCGTAGGAAGCTTCTCATTTTGCGAGGACTACCACGCTTGGGGCTTGAAGGGCAAAAGACTAGTGCAACATAGTACACCAGCCAAATCCAGCCAGCTATGTTGGTCGCTTGGGGCTTGTTTGGGGCACAAAACACACCAAATACATTCCAAGCGCTCGCAATAATGGACCTAAATTTTAAATCATGTCAAGTCAAATGTTTAATGTTTTCAATCCAAGGCCAAACGGGACCAATGGTGCTGACCTTGCCCCACCGGGACCATCATGCTATGACTTATAATGCTTATAATTGCTTTAGCACATGCTCGTCCACTTGTCCTTGAACCGTGACACAATATGTTTTACTATGACAAACTTGGCTTGCACATTTCACTTGATCTCACTCTTCCACAACACTTTCTTTCTCGAGTTATGCTCTTTCTGCAGTATGCCAACCGCTGCTTTTAGTGCATGTCTCTACATCGTTGGGAACCTCTTCACAGGTGGACAAGAACTCACTCTGAACTCTCCTTTCTAAGTTGGTTGGATGTTGCGAATGCTGCTATACCACACTGCTATCAATTTGGAGCAACGGCTTTACGCTAAAAGTCCAACCGCCCCACTCAGTGAACACCACTCACTCACTACATAGATCCATGACGTGACCGTCGCATGACATTGACTTGACGACTGGAACCTTTGTGTGTGTATGTGTTGGGTCTTGTACGAAGTACCCGAAAGATCCCGAAGTCTTGCTGCAAAAACACATTCATGGAACACTGATATCCGCTGTGCTCCTGTGCTCCTGTCTCACGTTGCATGCATTTCCCCAACCACAAATCGGGACCAGGCCCCCCAAAGTGGGTGACGAGATCAAATCAAAGCAGCACCTCTCACCGCCCCCGCCAAAAAACACGGGTGAACTTACCGGACCTCTTCTTCAAGTTCTTCAGATTTTTCAGCTACCTGCACTGAGTGAAGCACTGTGAGTGAAGCACTGTGACCCTTTGCTACTCAGCCATATGGAGATGCAAATCTCTGCAGTCAATCTGCTCTTGCCTGATTCACGTCAGTTTCCACTGCTGCAGCCTGGCCCAACAGTATGGCACCGGCATGCATGAAAGCAGCATCTGAGTTTAATTGTGACTGCATCCTGAGAGCCTTTCCAAGTCATTTCCTTGCCAAAAATCCTAAATTCAATGACTCTCCAGAGAGTCGGAAAGCGGCAGCTGCCAAAACAGTTTATCAGGATATCTTCATCCCCAAAATTCTCAATGCCCAGGACTGCTCATGAAAAGTATTCGATGGGCTCCAGGCTTTTGGCTTGAACTCACGAAACATCATCTTCCCCGCTGACCGCCGTGTGGCGCCACAGAGCCTTGGCCACTGAGCCGCCACAGCCCATTCTGACCGTCCTGAAGGGAAGGAACTTGAAGGAAACGACAGAGTGCACTCAGTGATTTATGTATGGAATCAAGATACAACAGTCCCTAGTTGTACAGTATCCCCCTTTATATAGTCTCCCTTTCTTCCCCAAGACTTGAACTGAAGCCACAATTCCAAAAGATTTGAGCTCTGCTCTTATTGCATTGCCAAACTGTGTGCGTATTCTGCTGTCAAACCTGCCAAATGGATTCTGCAACGGGGCCGCCGCAAGTCAGCGGCTTTGGTTCCTCTGTCCTCCAGTCCCTTCAGGAGATCCGAGGCATTCGGCTCAGCCAGCTCAGCCTCAAATTTGAGAGGGCATCAAGCTCGCCTCCAAGCCTGTGAAACAACATGAAACAACCACTTGCCATAGATTTGTTCCGATGCCTGTTCCCGCCCTGTTGAGGCACAATCCGACCGCTGAGGCTGAGCACGGCTCGTGTAGTTGGATCAAGGCTCGTGGCACAACAGCGCATGGAGCTATGAACTTTGCGATGCAAGTGGAGTTCTAAGGAGCTGCAAACTGCGGCATGTAGAGCACCATGAGAGAAAAACGTGTGTTGAATTGGAAGAATTGATCTTGCAATCATACCCGCCTGCCCCTACAGGTCTTCCGATTGTAAATAGGAGTGGGAAAAGTTTTGCGAAACACACCTTAAAGCCCAACATATTTCCACGACAACACCTTGCACCTATTTTCTTGCTGAGCCTTTTCGATTTCAGATTGCCACCCAACATGAAGTGGAACAACACAAAGGGCTGACTGCAAATTGTGGGATCAAATTGGTGTCATCCTTGGTGTGAGGCCCACATACGCTGGAGCAGCGAAGAATGCCATGAGGACCTCAGCTGAGACAAAGACCTTCAAGAGACAGGGGAAACCGAACAGGGAAGGAGCTTTCAGGCAGTGTGAAGTTTCAGGAACGGAATGAGAACACGTGGATGTTACGTATGTTGCGGGCAAGATTCACTTTCTGTTTTCAGGCAAGAATCATCTAGTGACTGTTGTTTATATAGTTGTCAGTTCATAATATAATCTACTCCAATCACCATACCTGACCAGTCTCAACACAAGCTGACTGGAAGATCGACTCAAAAGCTCCTTGGACGCGGATCCTCCGGCCGTCCGGCACCACACTCATGGTGGTTGCGAGTGTTTGAAGTAGACCATGGAGCCATGTGACTGGCAACACCCAGTTGGCTCAGAATTGTTGGCGCCAGGCCGCGAAGGCTAAGTATCCGATAAGGCTAGTGCTTGCTCCACGACACAAATCTGTCGGCTTCTGTGGACATGATCTTCCAACCAAGCAGGTCGGTGAGTGTAGACACAAGTGCCATGGTCGGTGTGCTTTACAAGTATGTTTGACCCATGTTGAATCGCATTGACTCCGAGAATCACTGATTCAAGTCAACGACCTGTGGGGAGCTGGGAGAAATGCTGAGTTTGAGCTTCCCTAGCACCAGAATGAAAAACAACTATGGCCAAAACCATCAACAAAGCTCTTCGCAACGTGAAAACTGAGATGCGACATGGAAGAGGGTCTCCCGGGCTTCCCCCAATTCTTTCGGTGTATGGTTTGGGGTTCCATCAAGCTTCGCCCAGGTTGCTCATCAAGCTTCGCCCCGTCTTCACGCCCTGAACTTCCGACTGAGTGATCTGATGCGATCGACCGAGCAAAAAACGTACCTCCGTGGTCGAAAGTGCATGGACCCTGGAAGACGA